CAGCAACTAGAAGGATGTGCAGCTATGACATACAACTATCTACTGGGGCTTTGGGGGAAAAAATAAAAATTAAAAAAAAATTAAAAAAAAAAAGAATCAAGATTTTCAGCATAAGAACAAGAGTTATAAATATAAAATCAAAGAACTTGAGTAAAAACTCTATAATATTGAATTTCAGTGGGGAGTATTAGTATGAACTAATGATTTATTTTTCTCTTTTTAAAAAATAAATGTTTCCTAGCTGGGTCCACTGTCAATGCCAAGAAGCAATGACAACCCAGTAGCAATAAGCATCCTTAGTGCCAGATTATAGTTTCTAAATTCCACTTCCTCCTAAAAGAACACAAAGCTCATTGGATTAAAGGTTCATTCGAAGTCTGGCGCAAGAATTATACACCATAAGCCTCAGGGCATCTTGTATCTGAATGCAAGGAAGCTATCTGACATTAATTGGGTCATGTCAGTACCACTCAGGAGCCAATTTGAAGGGGCTCCTATTGGCCATAGATAGGACAATTTGAGCATTAAAAAGAATAATGCCTGCAATGGATTGAAACACATCAAAGTTATAAAAATCTGAGTCTCTCCTAAAAAATCCCAAAGATTTGCCCTGAGCTAACATCTGTGGCCAATCCTCCTCTTTTTGCTTGAGGAAGGTTCACCTGAGCTAACATCTGTGGCCAGTCTTCCTCTATTTTTTGTATGTGGGATGCTGCCACAGCATGGCTGATAAATGGTCTAGGTCCGCGCCCAGGATCTGAACCCACAAACCCCGGCCATCGAAGCGGAGTGCACCAGACTTAACCACTATGCCACTGGGCTGACCCCCTATGCCATTTTATATAAGGGATTTGACCATCCTTGGATTTTGGTATCTGCAGGAGGTCCTGGAACCAATCCCCTACCCCCCTATACTGAGGGATGTCTGTAATTGTCAGAGTAGAAGTGGTTCTACATGGTGGGTTTTTTTTTTCATATGCTAAAAAATTTTTTTAACATAAGTAACGTGCTCACTGTAAAAACATTTAAATAACGTAGAAGAGCAAAATTTAAAAAGTAGGGACTTCTGATTAAAGATGGTATATTGAGGACATGTGTTTATCTGTTCCTTCTGGAAACCACAGGGACCAACAGAGCAAGAGGGGAGAGATAGGCCAGCCCTGTGGCTTGGCGGTTGGGTGCGTGCGCTCCACTGCTGGCGGCCCGGGTTTGGATCCCGGGCGCGCACCGACCCACCGCTTCTCTGGCCATGCTGAGGCTACATCCCACATGCAGCAACTGGAAGGATGTGCAACTATGACCTACAACTATCTACTGGGGCTTTGGGGGAAAAATAAATAAATAAATAAAATTATAAAAAATAAAGAGAGGAGAGATAGTAGATAAAAGAGAATAACAACATTTGGAAACTGGATAATAATAGCTGATTTAGCAACTTCAGAAAATGGAAAGCTAAATGCCTATGTGGGAGAAGTCAAGAAGCAAAGCACTATACTTCAATAAAGCTGTTAACAATTTTTTGAAAAGAGAAAGAAAGAAGCAAGCTGCTTCTCATTGCAGAAACCTGGAAGGTCTGGAGGCATTAGATAAGCTCTAAAGATGGAGCTGAATTTAGAGCTTAAAACAGGTTAAAAGGCTCTGCAAGATCTAGTAGACCCTTTGATTCCTCCCTCAACATTGTACAACTACCTCCCCTCCCCAGCAAAAGACTGGAGGTTTGTTCTTGAGAGAGGTTGAACCCAAGAGACTCTGAACTTGGGTGGAAGTAGCAAACTGAAAAGCTGGAGACTTAAGTTGGTGCCTACATTCTCAGCAGTGAGGCCTCCAGCCCCCGTCCGCTCAGTTGCCATAACGTTGGCAGTAGGTTTATACATCCCCATAGGATTAAGTGAGTTAATACCTGTAATGTGTTCAGAATGGTACCTGGTAAATAGTAAGTGCTTAATGTTATTATTAAATTAAACAGCTAAGTAATTAAAAGTGGTTGCCTCTATAGAGCCAGAATCAGATGGGGAGACATGGGGTAGGGTACTGCTAGTTTTCATTATAAACTATCAGGAATATTTGGCTTTTAGAATTATGTATCTTGGGGCGTAGCTTAGTGGTTAAGTGCGGGCGCTCTGCCGCTGGCGGCCCAGGTTCGGATCCCAGGTGCGCACCAACGCACCGCTTGTCCGGCCATGCTGAGGCCGCGTCCC